AACGCCAGCAACGCTCATTTTCCTTCCTCTTCTTCCTGATTCTCAGCCCACCCTCAGCTCCAGACGACCCCGCGTGCTCTCCGCCTCCAGGCGCGGGCCCTACGCCCCGCCCCCGCGTTCCTGGAGTTGGGGCTCCGCCAAGCCCTGAAGGTCTGTACAGAATCCGGAAGGGACCGGTTTGCGGGCCAGGGGCGTGGCCTGGCTCACCCACTTTGGTGGGAGTCCTGGCCAATCGCTCCGTGCAGCGCGCTCGGGAGCGAGGCCGGGTGGGGGTAGGAGCGCGGGGCCGGGTGAATTTGCATGCCCCGCCCCTTCTGTAATTGACACTCATATCGCTCCCCCACCACCCCCCTCCTCCGCCCACCACCACCGTGGCCAGTGACTAACCCAGAGCTCGGTGCCCGACACTTAAATTTCCTGGCGGAGATCAAGTTCCCGCCCCGCTGGCCTGGCAGCTGGGCCAAGGCCGGCTTCCCCCCACCCCTCCCTTCTTGGGCGGGCAGGCACTCGCCCAGGCTCCTGGAACCGGGTAAACCGGTCTGGGTGCTGCTTCTGGGGTGGTCCGACCTGTGTCCCGGTCCTTTCCCAGCTCTGCCGGGGCTGAGCAGGGACGGGTATTTCTCCCCACCCCCAACGCACAGCGAAGGCGAAGAGGGAAATCTCAGGATGGGGAACACGCAACTAGAGCTGTCCCTTATTTGCTCCCCTGCCGGGCGATCCTCTCTGAGCCTCAGTTTCCAGCTCTGCAAAAAATGGACGTTAGAAGGACCTCAAAGGAAAGTTGCATCATTCATTCACAAAAACTTGACTTGTCTCTGCCCTCTTGGAGGCCACAAGCCAGGAGACAAACTCAGAAACAAACGTCAAATTGTAGTTGTGATAAATACTACTACTACTACTACTACAAAAAACAAAACAAAACAAAACAAAAAACACCAAAGTAGCTCTTGATCTGAGCGTTAATAGAGGGATCTTGGATCAAAATGGAGCGGGAAGGCAGGGGGAACAGGACAGGAAACACTTTACTGATGATACGCCTTTAAGCTGAGGTGACTTAACAAGGTGAATTAGGGAGGTACAAGCACTGTAGGAGAGAGCATGTACAATGGCCCTGTGGCTGGGAAGACTGGAAGTATGGGGAGCAAAAAGCAGGTCAATATGACATGACTGGAGGGTGATGCAAGATTAGGCCAGAGATGGACTGGGTCCAGAGTCAGCAGGACAATGATAGGGTAGTTGTTCATCTTTCAGAAGCAGAATTTTCCTAACTCGGGCAGTGGGCAAAGGAATTCAATGTTATTTAAATAACATGGAATGCATCTCTCAGCCTCTTTTTACCTGTTAGTCCCAGCTAGTTCTCTGACTTAAGGATAGTCTTCCTCCTTTGGCAACAATGTGTCTTTAACCTTGCTAATCTCTGTAACTAAAAGCTGTCTGGAACCTCACACTGGCTACTGTTTCAGCAGGATCTCATGACAGTGTTTCCTTTTCATTGTAACTTTTATGAACTGTTACCTTCTAAGTATGGTGGATAATTAACTCACCATTAAGTTTTAAAAATTAGATAAATAATAGTACAACTGTTACACAGATCTGATAAAAAAAAAAAAATCCTGACCCTCAACTGTCTGAAGTTTGGGAAATTCTAAGACCCATGGGAAGCCACTGCTTAAATGAGATATAAATATTTAGCACTTAGCACCTACTTACCTCAGACAACCTCATTCACTCATTTTGGCCTGGGCTGGGCATTCATTCATGAAATGGACATTTGAATGGCAGAGCAGAGGCTGAATAAAACACAAATATATCTTTTCAAGTGGCAAGCAGTGTTCTAAGGAAGCACCAGAACGGCAGTGTGGGGTTCTGTTTTCAATCAGGTAACCAAAGAAGACCTCCCCAAGAAGGTGACATTTCAGCAGAAACCTGAAGAAAGTGTGGATGGACATTTGGGTATCTGGGAGAATGGCATTGCAGACAGAAGGAAGAGCAAGTGAAAAGGCCCTGGGGCTAGAACACACTTGGCCTGTTCTGCAAGCAGAAAGTAGGCCAGTGTGGAAGAAGCAGAGAAGAGCTGGGAGAGTGAAATGATCAGTTTGTGTTTTATAAGATGAGCAGCAGCAATGAACCGGGGGGGGGGGGGGGGGTTAAGGGAAGGGAGGAAGCCCCTGCCCTAACCTAGGTGGGAGGTAACAGAGCCATGAGGTTGGGGAAAGGCTCAGAGTGGGATGATAGGTCAAGTTGACAGGCCCTGTGACTGGATGGAGTGTGAGGAAAGGAGAAAAAGGGATTTGAGGACGATTCCTCGGTTGGAAGGCTGGAAGGAACCAGCAAGAATTCTCTTTGGCTCCCCTTCTGTTTGGAATACCTCAGGCCCCCAGGAAGAGACTGGGATGGGAGTCAGCACAGAGGTAGCATTTAGAGCATTAAGACTGCATGGGGCTGCCAGGGGCGAATGCAGACAGAGAGGTGCAGGGCCTGATGCAGGAATCACTGGTAAGGCAGAAGGAACCCATGAGTGTAGGCCCTCGGTGAGGGGGGAAAAATATAGATAGATAGATAGATAGATAGATAGATAGATAGATAGATAGATAGATAGATATCAGCCCTGCCAAGTCACTAGAACATGGTCAAACCCTGGGAGGGAAGGCAGACCCATGTTCACATTGAGTTACTGGAGAAGGGGGGGGGACACTATTTTTCAAATACTCTGGGCTTAACACAGCATCTGCACACACTTTCCCGTATACAGTGGTACCTCGGCACTCCTTGTTCACTCCTCCGGAGGAGTGGCGGGCAAGCGACGATTGATGAAGCACTAGCAAGTGCTAAAAGTGGCAGGCAAGTGCCAAGTGCCGAAACATTTTTTTTTCCTCATCGAAATGCAATGAGTACCAGCTTTGATGAGTTCTGGAGCCGAGGAGCACCAAGGTACCACTGTGTATATATTTATAGTGCTGTATGTGTTTTTAAATGGCCAGGACTGTTGTCATCCTAGCCTCTCACAATAAAAATAAATAAATGATAACACTGTGTGCCCAGCACTCTATATGTACTATCTTGCTTAATATTCCCTATGAACCAAAGAGGTAAGGACTATCATTTTCCAAAATTTACAGCCAGGGAAATTGAGGCCCAGAGAGGTGAAGTAACTAATTCGAAGTTGCACAGGAAGCAAGCAGAACTGGCTGGCTGGCTCAGAAATCTGTGCTCCTCACCCACAACTTCTGCAGCTGGACTTCATCCCCAGCCTCATGGTTCTGGGTTATTGTTGCCTGTGTGTAGACCTGTCAGGCTCAGAGTTTTTACTTTTGGGAGGGGGAGCCACAGATAGTTCACATTCTAGCAGCCCAGCTCAGTTAGATGGACATGCAGCTTGTTTCATATCTGCCCATTTCAGACAACACTGTGGTGAACACCCTTCTGGAATCTCCTGCTGGTTCCCTGGGAAATGCACTGGTCACAAGATGTGTGATACTTCATAGTTTTCACACAGACATTGTCCAATCAATTACTCCCCAGAAGACCTGCCTCGATAACCAAGTGCCACGTAATGGACTGAAAACTCCAGGCCCCATCTTTATCAGTTACTGTGACAAATTTTCGGCGTTGCCTATCCTGATGGGTAAAACGAGGTCTCCGGGAGGAGCCTATCCCGAGGGTGTGAGTGTGAGGTGCTGGTCTGTCTCCCAGCTCTCATCCCCAGCCCCACTCCCCCGTGGCCGGCACCGGAAACGCCCAAGCAGCCCGCGCGGGAGGCGGCCAAGCCGCTTCCCGCGGAAGGAAGGGCCCGGCGGTTCCTGCGACAGACAGGATGCACAGTGAGGCCCCTTCCCCAGCAGCTGGGGACTTCCTGGGGCCGGTCAGGTTCTCAGGGGAGCGGCTCCTACGGGGACACTGGAGCCACCGTTAGGGGTGTGGGGCCCCAGTCCTCCTAGGTCCCACTGGGAAGTTCTGGGTCTGGCCGTGGAGTGGGTGGCGCTGTCTCCCACCTTTCCCGGGAAGGGATCGGGCAGCCATGCAAGCTAGCTGGCTTGATTCCCCAGGGGGAGGGGAGGCTGGGGGAGGCAGGAAGGGGTCCTGGGGTGGTGAGGGGAGCCTGGGGGCGAACTGGGGTGGGTCTGCTCCTCCACGGCATCTTCCTCCTTCCCCTCTCCCGCCTCAGGGTCAAATCGCCCCGGGTCCTGGGAAGCCTGCCGCCGGGAGCTAGTCGCCTGGAGGTGGGGCGAGTGCTTTCCCGCGCCTCCCTCCACCCTCACTCCCCACACCTGCGGCTCCTTTGTCCTCCCAACAGATAATCTCTGGGCCAGTGCTGGGTGAATTGAGGACTTTCACCCTGGGGGTGGCTAACCTGGAGCTGGGGCGCACCCAAGGCAAATAGCAAGGGTTCCCTGAACATTTCTAAACCTACAACCTCCTCGTGCAGAAGCTCTTTAAAGGCAGACTCCACAGATGAGGGAACTGAGGCTGGGAGCTTGCCTCCCGGCCTGGGCCACACAATTTCTCAGATTGGAACAGGGCATGAAGAGCTCTTCAGAGCTCACCTGAGCCACCCCACCCCCACCCCGGGGCGTAGGACCCCCGCCAGAGCTGATTCAGTTGGTCAGGTGCCGGCAGGAGTGCGGGGAGGGGGAGGACCGTGCGAGAATCTGCCACGGTTCCCCTCAAAAGGAGGCGTGGTTCCCCAACTAGGCAAGGGGTACGCTCCCCAGCAGTACATCCCCAACGTCCGAACTCTGAAAGTCCTCTTACCCCCAGACTTGTAGGGGAATTTCTAAGGAACCCTCAAATGTGCGGCCTTAGAGCCGGCGCTCCAGGGCACCCAGCGCGGAAGTGTTCCGGCGGAGAAAAGGGTTCTAGCCCCCTTCCGCCAACGTGGGAGCCGGTCAGACCGGTTTCTGCGACCCCCAGCAAGCCGCCCCCAGCTCCTGACCTCTTCACCCTGCCCTTCCCCCTCCAGGGAAGAAAACCAGACAGCCGTCCTTTTATTCAAACGGTCTTTATTTTCGTATCTGGCATCTCTAGCAAAAGGCCATATAAACGGAATTAAACAGAACCCACCAGAGTAAATAGACCCTCAGAACGCCCTGGCTGCAATCTCCCCCTCCCCGAACTGCCAAGTCTCACCAGCAACTGGTCCTAACTCATCCTTCTCGCACTCTGAACACGTCCTTCCCCCATTTTTGTGATTCACACCAAGATCTTTCTGGGTTGGTCATGTCTGTGTCGGAGGGAGGGTCACGTTTGAGGCTGCGAACATACCCCCCATCTCGAACGCACCAAATGAGAAAAATGTTAACCTTAGATTAGCTTCCCCCTCACCCGAAGGCATAGGGACGCAGGGTGAAGCACACCGGGGCCGAGTGACTCAGGCAGCCCTCCTCCCAGGCCCCACACCCACGCAAAGGCAACAGGAAGCTCCCCACGTCTGCCCCATGACGCAAAGATGACCGCTTGCATAAGTATGTCACTGGAGGGGGAAGAACAGTGCCTGGAATGCTCCGAGTGGGGAATGCGAACACCAACTACTGAAAAACCTTGTAAGGGCAGTACAGCCCTCAGTAAGAAATAAAGTCCGACCCTGAGGAATTTCAGGAACCAAGCCTCCCTCTCCCAGTCCCAGAAGGAGACGGAAAGGCCACGTCCCGGTTGGTTAAGAGAGCACCTGTGGGCGCGCCAGGTCTCGGAGGAAGGCGCCCGAGCCCTCGGCTCAGGCTCTTTGGCGCCGCGGCTGCACAAGGGTGGCGACGGCTCCCCGGGGGCATAGTCCCTCTCGGGGCCTCTCAGCAGACCCGGCTGCGGCTCCTCTCCATCGTTTCGCGGGCGCTCCCGCGGGTCTGGCCTGGCCTGGCCTCAGGTCTCTGCACTCGGGTCAACGGTTTGGCCCGTGCTCTGGGCTCCCGTAACGCCGCTCGGGGTCCCTCAAAAAGCCACCACTGCCCGGACAAGCACATTTAGCATGCTGTCCGCCGGGCGGCAGATCGGCTTTGCCTCGCATGCCGGCGGCGGCGGCACCGTCTGGGGGGCAGCCGGGTTGCAGTTCAGAAGACCGGAGAAGCGCCTCTGTAGGACGCGCGCTAGGTTGGGGAAGGCGCCCTCCGCATGTGCGGGAGGGGGCTGCAGACGACTGGGGACCTCCGAAGACTCCCGTTCTTCCGCGTCCTCCTCTTCTAGTCGGGCTTTCTTGCTCGGGACCAGTCCGGCGTCTCTGCTGTTGCTCAGGCTGCTGCTTCGCCGCTTGCGGCTGATTTTGGCGGAGCGCGGGGCACAGCGGGCAGGGGTCTCCTCGGCTCTTGGCGCCTCCTGCGTGTCCATGGGCTCCGGGCAGGGTTGCTCACCATCAGGGGACGCTGCCTCCGCTCTAACTTGAGCTTCCCGCGGTGGGTGTAGGCGAGGGTCAAGGGAGCAGGCGGGCGGCGAGGGCACCCCGTGCTCCTCGTGGGCTTCCACCTTGGCCGAGAGGTAGACCTCCCGGGCGCTACGCATGATCAGCGACAGCTGCAAACTCCGGTGTAGCCGCAGCCCTCCGCGTTGCATGCGCGAATGGTACATCTTCCACACCGACAGGGTCATGATGCGCTGCGCCTCCTTCTGCACCTCCATAGCGGCTCGACGGCGGGGACTCCCCTGCTTAGCAGGTGCACTCTGGACAACGCACTCGCTCACGCTTCCCCCAAGCCAAACAACGCCGTAACGCACCTAGGACGTTCTGCCCCAGCACCCGCCACCGGGGCCCATTTGTACCCGAAGTAACGTCATGAACACGCCCCGCCCAATCAGAGCGCTCCGTCGGGCTTTCCACCGCGTCCGGGCAAGACACGCCTTAAAGCGACAGGGAGGAATTTACCAGACGGACAAAAGGGCCGCTTTGCCGGACGTGGAGGAGCGTTACCCGGTCCCCTCTGAGCTCTTGAGGTGGTCTCCTTTCTCGGCTTCTCCCTCCTCCCCCAATGCGCCCGCGCACCGGCCCAGGGGAGCGGGGCCAAGGGTGACGCTCGGGGCCCACCCACATGCTACAGTTCGCAGGCCCCAGCAAGTCGTAGGCGGCTAGTTTCCCTTTGCTCCAATAACGATGGTAACACTTACTAAGCGGTTACTACGTGCCAAACGATGTTAAAGACTTTACTTTCATAAACATCTCATAGATCCCTCAACTCCACTGCGTGGAGGGTACCGTTGTTATAACTGAATCCTTCACGTGGGGAAACCGAGGCAAACCGAATAGTCCGATATTTGCTGAACGAATAAATTGGCCGACTGCAGTGAAAGGCCGCCACTGGGGACTCCAGCTCTACACTATCTAGAGTACGCCAGCCCTCATTTCCCCTGTCTGTAGGCGGCAAGGAAGCGAGCAAGCCGTCTGGTTCCAGGGCAAAGTTGCCCGCTCCATGGGCGGCGGAAATTTGCAGACAAGAGCGCAGCCCGGGCTGCCATCTCTGCACACACTAAGCATCCTCTCAGTTTTCTTCTGTACAAGCTCCACGGAAGCGCTTTGCATTCTGAAGGTTGAGGACCTGGCCGCACGACATCCGCGTGAACTCGTGGCTTCCGCCCCTTAAACGAAGCGACCGCGCTCCACCACCGCACCCCCAGAGGCTAGGTTGGGATAGGAGTTGAAAACTGAGCAACACAGAGATAGAGCAGATAGAAAACATCGGCTCCATCCTCCGCCCCGCGATCTGTCTGCAAGAAAACCTATTATCAGTTCCTTCCCCAAAAAGCCGCAGAATTATTTGAATGGCTCCATTCATTCGTGGCGTGGGCCCTTTAAGGAGAGGCTCCACCCACTAGACTGGTGCGCAGAGCCTTCCCGCCTCTGGGTCGGCGCTACAAGCCGAACTAATTTTGGAAGTACTGACGTAGGGCAGGCCCTGGAGCCGCTTCCGGATGCCCATATAAGGACAGAGGCCGGGATCTCCATACAGGGCAATAGCCGGCTTCTTCCGGGCGTGCGTGCGTGGGTAGGGCCTTGGCCTCCAGACACGCCCCCCCTTTCCCCTTTTCCGGGCAACTGCGGCTGGCAGGAGCCCCCGGCTTCCGGACCCGCGTTTTGCGGGGTCGGCGAGGAAGGTTTCGCTTCCTTCCAGGGAAGCCAGGAAGGCGTGATGCCCGTCCGGGAAAGCCCCCGTAGGCGGGCAGGAGCGAGCTCACGATTCCCACTGACACCATCTCCCAGAGACCCTACACAAAGACCTTGCCAGTACTAGGAGCGACTCCGTGAACACCTCTTTATCCCTGTCCCCCCAGTTATCTCTCTGCAAGGCCCTCTCTCAGGTATTATCGTTCCTCCGCCCAAAAGTCTCTCAGGCACCCTTAGAGGATGCTCAGGTCCCGTCCCCCGCACAAAGGGACTCAACGATTATTCCCCCTGAAAGATCCCACTCAACAATCGTCCCCATTCAGCGATCTTTCCTGCCACACACTGCAGTGTCCGGCTGAGAATGTCCCATCTTTCCACCTCCTCACCCTCACCCCGCACCACGGAGACTGCAATGACATCTGCAGGCCAGGTACTATCTCCAAGACCTCACACAGCGACTCTGACACACACAGAGGCGACCCGCCGAGGACTTCAGAGATCCCACCACCCTCCAGAGGGAGATCAGAACGTCATTCAGGCTATGGCTTCCTTACACCGCCCTCCACCCCCACCCCCACAAAGTGCTTTCCCGAAGACCTCACAAAGAACGTTCCTGTGTGACAGAGACCCTTTGAGTCTCTCCCCAAACATTCCTGGCTGCTCCCCAGAGACCCACCACGCGGAATGACTCCTCGAGACAATTCTCAGAGCCACCACCACACCCTTCCTCCCGCGACCCCCAGGCTCGCATCCAGTAAGATCCCATCCCCCAGGAGCATCTCTGGGGCGCCTACTAACGGCCATCTCGCCCCAGGATGACCTCGATGTGCCCCTCCTCCGTAGGAAAAACGAGGAGGGGAGTTCAGCAGAACTACACACAGAATGCCCGCGCCTCATCCCGCCGGCGGGAACGTGGGACGACCACCTCTTTCCCCAGCCCTTCCCAAACCTCTAACTGCCGACCCTGAGCTGGCAAGATCTCCCAGGACAGGATCCGGGTGCAGGCCCAGGGAGTCCGTTAGGAGGATCTACGAATCGAATGAGCCCCTTCTCCAGCCATAACCTCGTCTGATTTCAGGGAAGTTATTATTATTTACATTGCGCAGAAAGGAACTGAAGTTGCGCCGTGACAATTCGAGGGGCTGGGTCTCGAACCCAGAGGTTCCGGCTTGTAACTCGAACCGGGCCAGACAGAACTAGCGCAAGGCTGCGGGCGGCGGGATACGCGAATGCGAAAGAGCAGGGCACGCGCTCGGGAAGCGGTCTCTGCCCACAACCAAGATGGCCACGGGAGGACGCGGGAGTCTCGCACTTCCGGCCTCCGAGATCTTTCTTCCTCTCCGGGCTCTCTCTGGTAGCACGGGTCACGTGGCGGGGGCGGGGGCGGGGGTGGAGGCCCGCTCTCTACGGCTGGGAGGAAACCTGCTAGCAAGGACGAGAGGGGAGGGGGCTTAACCTCCGACGGGGGGGCGGTGACATGTCTCTCGAAGACCCGTTTTTTGTAGTCCGAGGGTGAGTGACTGATGGGGGAGGGCAGAGGGTGCCCGGGCCCCTGCCAGCCAGTGCCCGGATGCGGGCCGCAGCGTGCCAACCGGTCCGGGGGTGCGCGGGTCGGGATCGCCCGGTGGCCGAGTGAAAGAGGTACGCAGGGGGATGTGGAGGTCCCCTGAACCGCACCCCCCTCATTTGGGGGCGCAGCAAAGGGCGGGAGACCCGCCTGCTCCCAGCCGCGCCCGCTGTGCCCCTGCCTGCAGCGAGGTGCAGAAGGCGGTAAACACAGCCCGCGGGCTGTACCAGCGCTGGTGCGAGCTCCTGCAAGAGGGCGCAGCGGTCGGACGCGAGGAGCTGGACTGGACGACCAATGAGCTGCGGAATGGCCTGCGTAGCATCGAGTGGGACCTCGAGGACCTGGAGGAGACCATCGATATCCTGAGTGGGGGTTGGAGGGTGCCCTGGAAGAGCCCATTTGCAGTGGCAGGGGGAGCTGGGAGACTGGATACCAGGGAGGCGTTGAGGCCTTTGAGGAGGAAGAGGAGGTTGTATTTGGCTCAGCCCTTGACTCTCGACTCGCGGCTTACGCATAGTGGAAGCCAACCCAGGCAAATTCAAGCTCCCAGCTGGGGACCTGCAGGAGAGAAAGGTGTTCGTGGAGCGGATGAGGGAGGCAGTCCAGGTGAGATAAGGTTATGATGGGGTGAGGATGGGGAGGTGGGAGTGTCTTTACTCTCTGATGCTGCCCTCACCCTCAGGAAATGAAGGACCATATGGTCAGTCCAGCAGCGGTAGCCTTCATGGAGAGAAATAATAGAGAGGTAAGGCATCCTGGCCCAGCGTTCTCACCAGATCTTTTGTGGTGTCCCTCTCCTCCCTGTGTGTGTTTGCCTGTTTCCCTGGGAAGTGTACATCTGTCCCTTATGTGCAACATCCATCCTTTCTGTGTGCAGTTCTCTTGGCTCTCCACCTGCCTGCTTTCTAGGTGTGTCCACCTGAGCCCTCACGGAATGTATACTCCTTTCTCCTGGAAGTCTGTACCGGTTTCTCAGGGTGGGTGGGTGGTGTCTGTATACTTATCCATTTCTTTGTTCTGTGTGTTATCGTTTCCATAATATATGCCTACCTTTTTGCTCTGTGTATGCACTTGACCTGAGTATGTGAACTTGGCTTCTGAGTATATCCTGCCTTCCTTGGGCATATACACCCTTTTCCTCTTTGGGTATGCTTGCCTTGTGTGTGCCAGCTCATGCCTTTCGTGTGCCTGTCTGTACACTTTCCCCTTTGTGTTGCATGTCCATTCTTTGCATGTTGTGAAACCACCAACCTCTCCCCATCCCATTCATAAACCTACATGGGGTCTGGGATGGTAGGGGACCTGAGGCCCACACCGACCTGGAGTCCTCTAGCAGTGCCCACATGCATTTCTGGTGTGCTGCCTTGGGGATTAAAGTACAAATTCTTACAGACATCTGTTTATGTCATAATATGTGTTCTCCATGGATTAATTCCAACATAAGGAAACAGGAATTACAGTTCTCCCCATTTTACAGATAGGAAACCGATGCACAGGGAGGTCAAGTGACATGGCCTTGGGGTCAGTCACCTTGCTAGTAAGTGGGTCTTGGGAAGCCAGGCCATCCCATTTCAGAGACTGCCTTACTGAGTAACCACTGTCTAAGTTTGCATGTATCTGGCTCTATGGTGAGTGGGCATCCATCCCTGAACCTGTGATCTGTGCTCCTCCAGATGCTAACAGGCAAGCCAGCCACCCAGAAGTCATCCAGTGACCTGCTAGATGCCAGCATGGTCTCAGCCACCTCCCGCTACCTTGAGGAGCAGCAGGCTACGCAGCAGGTTTGTGTGGGTAGTTGGAGCCATGGGCTGGAAGCCCGTGGACAACTTAGGGCTTCCTGATGACAGCTTTTCCGATCTGCAGCTGATCATGGACCAACAGGACCAACAGCTGGAAATGGTGTCTGGGAGCATCCAGGTTCTGAAACACATGTCCAGCCGCGTTGGAGAGGAGCTGGATGAACAGGGCGTGTGAGGCCAGGACCCCCAGGGTGGGCGGTGAACCTGAGGCTGCCTGCACTGGGGAAACCCTTCAAGGGCTAAAACCATCCTGGTCTTGGCAGCATGCTGGATGCCTTTGCTCATGAAATGGACCACACCCAGTCACGGATGGATGGGGTCCTCAGGAAGATAGCCAAAGTATCCCACATGACAAGTGGTGAGTCCCTTGGGGGAGGCAGTTTGGGAGGCTGGGGGGGCACAGGGTGGTGCTGCCACCCTCATGACTCCTGCCCCTTTCACCCCCAGACCGCCGACAGTGGTATGCAATTGTGGTGCTGTTGGGAGTGCTTCTCCTGGTTCTCATCCTGCTCTTCTCTCTCTGACCCTGGCTATCTCCAGGGGGCTGATCTCACAAGCTGGGGGAGCTGGTACGGCCCTGCCCCCTAGGAGAAGGGGGTCACACTGGGGGAGCTGTCCCAAGCCTCTTACCTAAAGCCAGTGGGACCCTCGGTGCCCTGGGTCAGAGCCTCTGCCATGGGTCCTCTTTCAAGTGCGCTTAAGGATTGGTGGAGGTAGGAGGACCACAGAACTCCTTGCTCCATTTCTATTTTCAGTGCCCCAAAGCCATTCATTTGCCCCCGTGCCTTCTACATGTGCCACCTTGGAAATAAAATTCCAGCCTTTTTTATACATATTATATGGTATGTTGACTCGAACTTGTGGCTGCCTCCTGAATGGGAACTCTTTAATTCTAAGCCAGTTTGTATGCATTATAGCCCGGGTGGGGTGTGTGTGTGTATGTGTGTACATGTGTGTTCATGTTATAGATTTCAGTGGTCAGTATTGGGGGCAGAAAAGACTGTTCTGGTTTATTTCTTGGTTTTCATGATGGATAATTTGATTACATTTGAAAATTTCAAACCGTGAATCTTTCTTGAGCTTTTGGAACTCAATGGGAACATATTTTGCCCGTTTTGTACCCAAGGTAGGTAAATGCCTTAGCCATGGAGCTGAGTGGGCACTTCTGAGGGGCCTCTGGGTAACGCTGGGCTCCACTGCACACCCTGTTTCTTGTTCTCTGTGTTGAGTGCATCACTCTAACAAGGCAGCCTTTGTGAATCTAAGGGCTTTGCTATAGAACCTTCCTGAGTACGAAATGATTTCTGTAAGCCGGGGAAACTTGTGAGAACTGTGACCCTTAGATTGTCATTAGGTGTTTCCATGCCCCACCTTAGGTAATCAGGCATGGGGACCACGCGTCTCACTCATTTGCATACACGTTAGACCGTGTTGTGTTACAAGGATGTTACTCCATCAGGCCAATTTGTCAAAATCTTTAAAAATGTACAGAATCCTTTTTTTATACCATGGTTTGGGTCCTCTTGATCCATTCTATACTTAGTTCTAAGTCTTCCTGGGGCTAAAAGTTGTGCTCTGGGAGTCCAGTGGGACAGAGCCACTTCTGGATTTCTGCTGGCATTGCTATTGGCCCTCAAAACCCCTTTCTGGCAGCTGAAGCTGGACTTCAGGACTTCAAAGGGGCTGGTCTTACCGAAACATTGAAGTCACCCTGTGAGGTGTAAAACAGCTGACCTTTGAACACCACAGGTTTGAACTGTGGTCCATTTATATGCCAATTTTAAAAATAAATATTGTAAATGTATACTCATTTAATCTTTCCTGTAACCTATTGTAAAAGTAGTGTATGATACCTATACAAAATATATGCTCATTCACTATATCATCAGTAAGTCTCCTGGTCAACAGACTATTTTGGGGGAGTCAAGTTGTACAGTTTTTGACTGCACAGGTAACCCATGTCGTTCAAGGGTCAACTTCAACTGTTATTATTCAAAAGTCATTTTTATGGACACCTGGAGCTCCCCTTGTTATCACTGGGCCAGAGGCCCTGGTCTGAGCAGAGATGTAGCCTCCCTGTTCACTCCCACGAAAGGTCTTTTGTTGACTTGATGGGATCCCTCAGATACTAAATAACCTTCCCAGCTGCTTCAAGCAGCTGTGACTCAGTGGGACCCTAAGGCACCTCCCTCTCTCTAGCTCCATAGAACCTTCGTCCTTTCATATCCTCAGGACCCTATAGCTAGACTTGCCATCTCAACTCTTTGAAACCGAGTGTTGGCTGGGGATAGCGCGAGGGATGTGTTCAGGATGTGTTCTGGGATGAGGGCTTGTCAGACCACAGGGCAGCCAGCGAGTCATGTGGCCCATGTGGCAGAGTTGCTGCCCTTCCAGCTTTGGAGTTCCCACAGGATGCCCATGCGGGATTTAGGGGTCACGTGTGCAGGAGCAGCCTGGGGACGGTGTTGGGGATCTATATATTGGGTAGCCTGAAAAAGAAATGTAATCTGTTGGCAGCCTGGGTCTGTCTGTCCCAATTTGAAAACACAGCCCCTCCCTTCACATCAAGGTTCTGACATGACATTTGGTGTGGGAACTCTCCACTGCATCCTGAGCCATGGCCTTGCTGCATTTGTCAATAGGAAGCCCTGGACACACGGCAGGAGTGGGGTGGCGGGGAACAGGGCATCACTCTGCAGAATGGGAGACCCTGGTGTGCAGTGAGCATCCCCCTTCCCAGTGAGCAGCATGCAGCAGGGCTGTTACAAAGGCGTTTAGTTTATTCTCCTCATCAGTGTCACTGATGTTCTCATGTTCACATTTCCCAGTGCGCTCCTCTCCTTACAGTAGTTAATGTGCAATCTCACTTACAGGCCGGGGTGGGGGGGGGGGGGGACTCGGCCCAGAGCAGGGCGGGTGTTGGCACTCCACGTGGACTCGGCAGGTGGCCTGTCCTCCGGGAACGAGGGGGCAGCCAGGGGAGGGGGGCCTCCAGTCTTTTTTGCGTTGGTCAGTGATTCTCCATCCCTGCTCCTTCCTGGCTGCCCCGGGAGGGGGCAGGGGTGGGGGCATGCAGCTCAGAGCAGGGCAGGGCAGGGGGAAGGAGGAAAAGCAGCAGGCCGCCCTGGAGGGCAGGGTGGATGGGCACAGGGGTGGCTCTTGGGGTAAGGCACGACCCTGTCTTTGGCTCTCCTGGTGAGGAAGTTCCTCCCCTGCACCCCTGCCCAGCCCCTCCCCCCACACCCCCGGACCAACACACAATCCCTGGAGCCAGAGGAACCTCCTGGGGTCCCTGAAACAAGGGGGCTCTGCCACCCAACCCAGTGATGCAGGGGTGTGGAGGAAGGACAGGGGCAAGCCCTGCCTGAGGACAAGGCAGGGAGGGGCTGGGCAAGGGCCTACCCAGAAAAAAGGGTGGGGAGAGAACACCAGTCCCAGGAGCTGGCCCCCAGCTAAGGCCTGGATGGGGGAGAAACTGGGGACTCCTGCTTCCTTTTGGGGGCTGGCTGAAGCCCCAGCCCTCCCTTCTGTGGCCCCGGGGGCCTACCAAGTGACCAGGATATTGTGCTTTGGGATGACGCTGGGGTAGGGTGTCAAGGCCAGAATGAAGGGCAGGGAGGTGCGACTAAGGTGCTTGTGCTTTAGCTTGGGGTGTCGACTCCCTCCCATACATGTCCCCCCCACACACACAGTCGGACCAGAAAGAAGGGTGCCAGCCAGACTGGACACCCCTCCACCAGAACAATCAGATGCTGGAAGGACCCCTTTCCCATAGGCTGGTGGGGACTGCTGGGTGAGGGGAGGCCTCGAAGTCAGATTCCAGGGGTCGACTGGGGTGGCCCCCACCCACCTCTGGCAACCCCCTGCCTCGGGAAGCAACAGGCTGTCAGACTTGGGGAAGAGACGAGAGGTGAGGCGGTGAGGAAAAGGACTGGAGACAAAAATTGTCAAATGACACCCAGCACGGGCGGATGGGGAGTAAAAATAAACAAGAACCCTCTGGTTCACATATACAACTCAAAAAAAATCAAAACATTCGCACTGGGTGAGGCTAGAAAGAGGAATGGTTAGAAAGAAAATTCAGCAAAATGCTCACAATGAGTGGGTCCTGCCCCGTCCCCAGAACTGCGCTCCGCCAACAGGCCAAGACCGGGGTACCCTTCAAAGGCAGCCCTGTGGGGGAGCTGGCCAGACCCAATGGAGCCCCAGCGGTGGCTGGGCCTGGGGTCCCACCTCAGAAACGTGCACCCACGCTCCACATGCACGCAACACATTCAGCCTGCCCTCACCCCCCGCCCCATCCTGCCTTCCACGGCCCCCAGGGACCAAAGGGGACATCAGACACAGTCCCGTTGGTTTGAAAAATAAAAGGAATCTTATACTTCAGTATTTCATTAGCTAAAAAAATGTTTTAAAAAGTATGTACAGGGGATGGGGGCTGGGAGCCCTGCCGTGGGATGGGGTGGGGAAGGGAGGGAAGGGCAGCAGCCCGCCAGCCTGCTCCCCTGGTTCCGACCCTGGTCCCACTGCCTCTCGTATCTTCATTTGTTTAAAAGCAAAACCTCTACACACACACACACACACGCACACGCACCTGTGAGCCCCGGGAACCTCTCGTCCTTTTGTCAGAGACTCTGCACTCCTCGCTCAGGACTTGCCCCCTCAGGCCCCAGGGGACTGATGGGGGCAAGAGAGGCTGAGCACAGGGTGGGGGGGGGAAGGGCACTGAGCCCACCGCCGCCTGTCACCTTAGATCAGTCCTGGGATTTCTCTGAGCCTGTTTTCCTCAGCTGTCACAAGGGCAGTCCCCACAGCCTCGCCTAACCCAGCCCCAGGTGCAGGGACAGACGAGGGAGATAGGAAGGCGCTTTCGGAAACGTGGAAGCACTGGGAGGTGGTGGCAGAAGGGGTCCTGAGCACCCCCAGGCCCCTCTGCAAGTCCCAAGGGGCTGCAGTGATGGGTGGAGCAGGACTGCCCCCAGACCGGCCCCTCCCCTGCCTGGCCTGGTTGAGTGGAACGGGAAACAACTGCTAGGGGTTAGGAGAGGGGGAGCGAGTGCTCCCCAACTGTGCACGAGTGTGTGCGAGAGAGAGAGAGAGAGAAGGCCACGCAGAGCTCGCACCACTGCCATCCTCTCCCAGCCCACGCGGACTGGGGGCGGGGAGGGACGGGGGGCCGAGGGGCCGAGAGCATGCAGCACACCCCGTGGGTCCTGGGGAGGGACAAACAGTAGCTCGTGACCAAGATGGCAGGTGGGGGTGACAGGAGGGGGAGTGTGGCGGCCTTGTGGAGGGCCTGGCGAGGGTTACTGGAGGGCCTCGGCCGAGGGGCCCGCCTCGCCATCGTGGCTGGCCGTTTCGAAGCTGTGCTCCACGCCCATCATGTCCGGCTCCAGCTTGCCCGTGTCACCGATGAAGGTGGTGTAGGTGTCACCCTCAGGTGGCTTCCCCTTGGGAATCCAGCTCTTCCGCACAACGCGGCGGGCATTGGTGCACATGTCAGCCGCGATGGCGTTCATCTCGCTCTCCTTGAAGTTTGGGGCAAAGTTCTGGCAGTAGTCTGTGCGGGGAGAGGGGACGGCTCAGGCCTGGTATGGCCTGGCTTCCCAATCCCACCAACAGCCACCTGGCCATGCCTTCCCTGACTCCCTCAACCCCGCCCGCCACAGCACACCCTGGAAACCCTGTGGGAGGTGGGAGAACGGAGGGGTCTCACTGACAGCAGGCTGAGCCACATTAGCTGGCTCCACACCTGAATGCATTCTGCCATGTGTCTGGGATATGTGGGCTTGACGGGGTGGCCCAGTGCTCTTGAAAAATGGGAATCATTTGCCAGAATTTAGGAGTTAGGAGATTCCACGTGCAAACTTAAAGAGTTCCTGCTTGACAACTGCCTGGAGCCTGGCTGCTGCGTAACTTCCATGACCACCTTGAGTTTGAAGAACCCCCTGCCCCCCTCTCATGTGATAGAAGCTTCCCTTCAATTCCCTGCCCCACTCCCCACACCAGGAAGAAATCTCTTACCAGCCATAGCCTTCTTCCCTACGTGCCTAGATTGAACCTCAGAATCCTAAACA